GTTTTTCTTTTATTTCCTCTCGTAAACGACGTAGTAAGGTGCAGTAGTAATCAGAGTTTATATTCTGACCCCTTTCAAGATAATCAATCATAATCACACCTTTCGAGTCCCAGAATACTGAAGCCATCACCTTATTTGCCGACAAAATCGACTTAGCCTTTTTAGGGGGTGGTGAACCAGGTCTTCTCCACTGATTTGATTGTTGTTTTGTTTCCGGTGTACAGTAATGAACCCATGTTTCGTCCATAGTAACAAAATGATTCAAAAAATCATCTACATCGGCTTCAAATAACTCCAAACAGTCGCGTGAAATAGTCAATCGCGTCCTTTTTTGTTCAACTGACAGCAGTCGCGGAACCCACTTCGCAGACACCTTGTGGAAACCCAACTCGTTGACAATGATGTTTTGAGTTCGTTCATAAGAGATGCCTATAATCTCGGCTATCTCTCTAATTTTTAATCTGCGGTCTCCCATTATTAAATCAAGTACTTTTTTAATATTTTCGTCAGTAGTTGACGTCGAAGGCCTTCCAGAGCGGGGTTCATCTTTCACACTCTCTCTACCACGCTTAAATTCTGCTATCCATTTTTTGACGGATGAATATGACAGAGCACAATCGCCTAATGTACTGACCATGTCATCATGGATTACTTTTGATGATAGCCCCTTCTTATGGAGGTACTTAATGACGGCACGCTGCTCGATTTGCTCCATTCGCGGAAATTATGTCCGATTACTTTGTTAATAAATTTATAAAATCACAACTAATTATCGCACACGTTTCGAACTTCACACAATGAACTAGTCTGAACTGAACTAAATAATGTGGGTAGATTTGATTTTTAGAATTGAATGGATCTGTGTTAGGCCGAGTACTTTTCAATCCACCCAGGTACATTACATTTTCATAAATATATTAATTATATAAAATGAAAAGGAATAAGGCCCAAAGTAACTAAACTATGTTATATAAATAAAATAACAGAAAAAAAACTGTAAGCGCATAGAAAATCGAGCAGTTCAGCCCACTCACAAGTGACAGATATTCCCACTACACTAAAGCGCTCTTCTTGGATGCTTCCTATTTACTCAATCATATCATGTTCGTCACACTAACACCAACAAACATACAAATATTATAACTTTAAGCAATAAACAATTCGTGACTAATTTCACTAGTCATTAAAATTATATGGATAATAAATAATCTGCATATGCATATGAATTATGTCGCCATAATGATTGTAGGGGCCGTATTGTACGATTTGATATTACTTGATTGGCAAAAAATGACTTTGTATTCTAAATGTAAGATTTAGAGGGAATAACATCTACAATAACTGAACCGTGTTGTGCAGAAATGATCCAAACCCACAAACCTGCCAAAATAATGATCCGGAGGCTCTTTTTTTAATTTCTTTCCAAGTATGAAATGTTTCTGATAAATAACAAGTAATCCCCAAATCTACATACAGTTTTCTTTAAAATTATTTAAATAACAATATAAGTAGGCTACTGCCACGAGAAATCTTTCTAATCGGAATAACTGTTTTGTTTTTTTTTTATAGGATAGGGTGACAAACGAGCACACAGTCCACCTGATGGTAAGTGGTTGCTGTGGCCCATAGACATCTACATCTATCCTCGTTTGCGAATCAAAATGCAGATGCGTTGTCACCCGTGAGGACTAAGATGGAATGCCTCTTTTCCAGTAAAAAGGGTATCCGGTTCTCTACACTCACCATACGAAACACAGCAGTGTTAAGCTGCTATTTGACGCTGGTATTCTGTGAGAGCGTGGTCCTTCCCCGGTCGAGCCGACCCATTCGTGCTACAACTATACTACTAATATAGCTGCAGCATGGCTCTACCACATACAAAAAACTTACTGACTTGGTTGAAATATTTCAAAAAAAAATTTTGAAAAATTTTGTAGGTGACAGGATTCCTTTTCAGCTTGGGAGACCATCTGGGTAGGTACCACTGTCTAACCTATTTCTACCGCAAATAGTAGTGCTTGCTATGCTGTTCCTGACTGAAGAGCTCTGACTCCTGACTTTTCAGACCAGAGAACCAATATAGTTACAGCCTTTGAGGCATTCAATCTTTTGTCCACAGAGGTGATAAGGCATCTGTAGCCTTTTTGTTTGTAGTTGGTTGCATATGTCCATGGGCTGCAGTAGACACTTACCATTGTGGACTTAGTTTGTCACTTCCGTTTAAAAAAAATACAATATTAAAGTACATATTTCATTTTGTCCTTTTAATATATTAAAATTTAGTCCTTTTGTCCTTTGAATACATTAAAGTTGGAGTCAGTTTTATAAAGAATGGATACTGCCTACATTTAGTAGCAAATTACCCGAAAATAGATTCTGAAGACCTAAATTAATATAAATTAGAAATGCTGACCTACTTTGAGATCCTAATATTAAAAAATAACGAATACTGAGTATTTTTCAACCATGTCCAAGGAAATTAACAACAGTACTTATTTTTGAAACATAATCGTGTATAAGCATTTTTGAAGATACCTATTGAAATATTTCAACTGCAAGCTAATGAGAAGTTCCATAACAGTGATGATAATTTATAAATGGGTGTTTCTGAACGATTGTATGGAGAGCCATTATAGTTACAGGCTGTAAGGCATTGCATCCTCAGTCCTCAGTGGGAGCAAGGTTTCTGCACCCTTCCTCATTTACAGTAGACTGCGAGTGTTCATGGACTACAGTAGCCACTTACCATCAGATGGACTGGAAGTTTGTCACTTCACTTTATAAAAAAACAATACCACATATCATACTGTCATTTTTGAAAACCTCCTACTAATTCCAGTATTGGGTCTACAAAATCTCCTAAATTGCTACTAAATAGATGTAACATCTGCGTTTTTCTTTTCTTAATAGCCTATCAGAAGTCCACTGCTGCCTTCGCCTATAGACTGACTCATATAGGCTGGATATTTGCCATAGTTTCCACTCTTAGCTTTTTTATTATTTTGAAATGTAATGAGGACAACGCTGATGTTTATCTCCCGTTTAATTTCAATCTGTCCCCTCTACAACACCCATGGAATGATATGGATTAGTATATTCTCTTATGCTTTCACTATCTGTATTTAAATATTAAAAAATGGCTTCTTAGTTCGTATGGACGCAGCTATGCATACATACAAAGTATAACAGCTTTGTCTACTATCACCTGAATAAATATAAGATATCCACTGCAGACACAAATGCCATATCAGAAATAGAATTAGAATCTAGTAGATGTTTGTATTAAGTATTTTGTCAGCACAAATAGCCGCCTGTTTGAATATCACATATTCTTTTTTTTTTAATGTAAAATGTTAAGTTAATGTGCACGCCGAACCATATTTAATAGTTGCCCCTTACATGTCATGACGCCCGCAGGGGGCTGACAGCTTATGCATGCCCGTGTGTCAGCCCACCCCGTGTTGCTCATTTGACAATTAAACACGCCTTGTCTTTAATCTATGTTGTTCAAAGATATAACGTTGTTTTAATCTTTGAACAACCTAGAAAAAAAGTTCTGAGGTAAATAATATAAAAAAAAATTGTCGTAAATTCGAGTCATTGTAAATTTAACCTCCTCCTTTTTTGAAATCTGTAGAAAAACTAGTTGTCTCTTAATATAAGAACTAGACTCTTAACGTAATAAAAATTACTTATCTGGGGGCACGGCAGTGCCCCAGCTAAGTCGAGCAAAAAAGCGACACGGCTGTATCATCCTTTTCTCGAAGCAGTTCAGGCCATTTTCGACCCCCTATAACTTTGTTGTGAATAAAACTAGAAGTCTGAATTTTCAGTAACCAAGTATGCATTGTATAAACATGGTATATTTTAAATTTCATTCAATTTAAACCAGTAGTTTAAGAATTATAACTTGTCAAAGTTTCTTAATTTTGTCACTCACTGACTGACCGATCATCAAAACTCTAAGGCACTTCTAGCAGACGTAGAAGCTTCAAATGTAAAACACAATTAGTGTTTAGTGTATGAATTAAGGAAAAACTAAAATATTTTGTAATTTTGGTCCAGTTTTTAGATACGCCAACTACATAAATAACTTTGTAATCGGTCCCTACTTAAGGGTCCTTCTGTCTCAAGTTATTACGTAATTAGCTAACCTAACAATATATTATAGTGACCATATCAATATTAAAAATCTTTTATGTTTTAAATACATAGATTGACTTGGCAATCGCACTAAACAATCTAATTTAATATGATATGTATTACTTGTGAGATACATTGTGTTGTGGTGGCGCTATCCTCGCACCACAAGTGAAACACATCGAAGCCTAAATTGTGCTAACAAAGTTCCGAAGTTAAAGCAGTAGAACACCTTGCCCGGTGGGAGATCTCCCCTTTTCCTTCACCCTCCACAGTGTTTTCATGCGATGGCCAAGTCAATCAGCTGATGTTATAAAGAGTAACTTAAGCTACTTATATTTTAGTAAAAGAATCAGGATTCCACACAACATAAAAAAAAAATTTTGGGTTTTTATAGGATCGTGTGACAAACGAGCACACAGTCCACCTGATGATAAGTGGTTGCTATGGCCCTTAGACATCTACATCTATCCTCGTTTGCGAATCAAAATGCAGATGCGTTGTCACTCATGAGGGCTAAGATGGTATGCCTCTTATCCAGTAAATAGGGTCTCCGGTTCTTACACTCACCATACGAAACACAGCAGTGTTAAGCTGCTATTTTACGCTGGTATTCTGTGAGAGCGTGGTCCTTCCCCGGTCGAGCCGACCCATTCGTGCTACAACTATACTACTAATATAGCTGCAGCATGGCTCTACCACGTATAAATTACATGCGGACGAAGTTGCGGGGAACAGCTAATACAAAAATAAATAAATAAACTAAACAAAAGCTTTATATTCACTGCTATTTTAGATTCTACTTCTAAGTTATAGCATATTACATTATAAGTAATTAATTAATATAACAGTAAACTTACTCAGGACTGCAATTGGGAGCATCAGCAAACTGATGACCAAGCCTTATCTCTGGTGGATCTTCAGGGTATTCTGGAAGGATATGTCTACTCTGCATCAGGTCTACCATCTGGTGCCCCCAGAGTTGATCAAATCCTTGTTTCGTCACACTCAGTTGACCCATTTGTTGTGTAATTCCTTGCGGAGTGTAAGGTGACGGAGGTTGCTTGCTGACTCCCTGGGGTTGCGCTTGTGGTTGTTGATGGTTAGTGTAACCACTTGGAGGCATTTGAGGGTATCGACTCTGTATATTAGACCTCGGTGGTCCAGTCAAACCCACTGGAGGGCCTGGTGAGGCATTAGCAGATTTACCCATTTGTGGCAAACTTTGGACTTGCGGCTGTACTTGTTGTCCCATCTGCAAACTTGTAGGTCCACTATATGTTTTAGATGTCATTGGTCCAGCTGATGAAGGTGTTGTTTGACCTAATCCCAAAGGACCATTGTATTGTTGACCAGGATATTGTTGATTAAGAATATGAGTTCCAGAAGGTGGTTTCATTGATAGATGGGGTAAAGATGTTGGTCCAGAAGGAGGACCACCTACAGGCCCTATACTCTGAGGTGGTCCTACAGACTGGCCAGGCATATTACCAGTAGGTCCATTAAGCCCAATTGGTCTTGGAGGTCCAACTAAGCCCATAGGCTGCCCACTGGAGGTGGGGGGTACATTCATCGGTGGACCAAACAAAGGACTATTTCTTGGATGTCCAGTAAGTGGCGGCCGTGAATATGGCATACTTGGTTGACTAGTGAAAGACCCAGGCGGTAAAGATGAAGGAGGAAAGCTAGATTGGTATTGGGATGCAGTGGGGTTTATTGGTCCAGATGCAATATTAGAATTCACAGGTCTATTAGTCATAGGACTATAAGAACTTGATGTCAACTGCTGAGGTAATGGTTGACTCATGGGAGAAGAGCTCAATGGCGGACCATTAATTATTGATTGGTTAAACTGACTAGATGGAATAAGAGGTGGTGCATTGTCATTTATCTGAAGCTGTTGTTGATATTTTGGATGGTATGGTGAAGAATTAGAATTATTAATAGAACTAGAGTTAGGTACAGATGCAGGAATGTTTTGAGAAATGTTCTGATTTGAAGTTGCAAGACCAGGTTTGATTGATAGTCCTATTGATGAAGAATTAAATCCAGATAATGGTTGAGGTATTATTCCTGGATGATTAAAGGCGGGTGAACTACTTGCACTCTGGCTAAACTGAGTAATTTGTCCTTGGTTGGTAGGACTAACAAATCCTGGCACAGGGCTATTTGAGTTTGCATCTTGTTTCAATATTGGCTGCTGAGACTGTGCATTAAATTGGCTTGAATACTGCAGTCCAGGGTTCACATTTGTCTGTGGTACTCCCGAGGTATTGTTGTACGAACTTGGTTGTACGTTTGACATGATTCTTTAATCTGAAAACGTTAAGTTTGTGCAAGTATATAACAAAGATATCGACTCCAATGTACAAGTAGTGTGTTTATTTTATGATAAATTGACTCATATCAACAAGGATTTTTAATTATTGCTAATTCACTGATGATGACAGAAGGACGATTAAAAAACAACTTACCGAAGACGGAGATACGTTACAACACAAGAAACTTATTGTACACTGTGTGTGATGTTATATCATTCTCACATATTATCCCGAATAGTGAAATTATTGTAATAAAATAACACAATGAAGGAAAATACGACCCTGACTTACGTGGCTGAGCGATTTAAAGCGCCCTCTGCAGGTTTAACAAATTGATTTTTGACATATAGCATGTCAAAAAGGTCACGTTTGTGAGGAACGAAAACGATACATATAAAACATTTTTTATTGAGATTTTTTTGGCTTGGCTGCTTGTTCTTTAAGGCACGTCTTCATTTATCTCGTATCAAGACCATTCAACCAAAGGACGAGTAATGCGCTTAATGCTAAGTTTGAGAGAGAATTTTGGGAAGGTCCCGCGAGTCGGGTAGAGCGTTTGTGGTTATTTCATTACTGCGAAGCATGTAACATTTCCAAAAAAATGTTTTTTTGGCAACTTGATTTCTTTTTTATCTTTTATTTTAGTTTTTACATAATTCCAAAAAATAATCCTACACTTTTTGTCGGTTATAAAGTAGGTATTACCCGTAGATATAGGATTGACTAGATAAAAGCATACACATTCGCGTATGCTTTTGAGATAGAAATAGGCGGGAGGTACTTTCCCAGGGTTACCAGATATTGTTCCATTTTCTATGGTCAAGCCAAGGAGTATAGAAGGTCAGGCCAAAGACAATTTTTTTTAAATGAAGGTAAATATAACTTAGAGTCATTACTAAGTTCTTATCCAAATATAAATAATAATATAAAAAATAATAATAATAATATGATATTATTAGTGAAAAAATAACTTTGTTGTTATAGGTTATAAACACATGTTTATAACCTATAACAACAAAGTTATTTTTGCTTTGTCATCCAACAAGACCCGTGTCTGCGCATTAACAGCGACATCTATTTTCAATCATCAAAACCACTTGCCACGCTCAAAGACATCGATCGATTTTTCGATTAGTTAGAGAGTTATTGAGTTAGCGGAGATATGTATTAATTAGTACTGTGCAGTTTCCGTAGAGGACGTTAAATGTACGGACGCTACAGAACGGTAGTGTTGAGTTGTTGATACAGTTAGAGTTACATACCAGCACTTCGGTTCTATAATATAAGGCACCAAAATGTCAGAAATAGAGAAACTACTAAAGGAATTGAGAGTTGACATAAAAAAAGACTCTGAATGACATCTTGTGCAGCTAAACAGTGTTCTAATAATTCAAGAAATAAAATAAGATACACGGGATTACTTACCACTCATAATTATAGCTAAAAATTTTATTTTTTTGAAAATTATAATGATGTTTATTGTTGACTTCGCCATGTTTGTGAGAGCGAGATAGATAATACAAACATGCGCGAGAGACACGACACGCCATTAAGTAACGCGATTTCGCTCGCACAACTACGACGTTTCCTGTCTCTGTCCTTGTCTATCGGTAAATTTAATTTTGTGATTATGATAACAGATGTGTGTGAACATTCCGTTTTCTTCACACTGCTTGTTTCGACGGCTATCTTTCTTTCTGCACGTGTTCAACTCTTGAAGTGGGCGGTGTTTTGTAAAAGTAAGCTCTATTACAATGCTAATAGATATGAAATATGCATGTAAATATATGTAGCCAGATTTTATGAATTTTGTTGACATTATTTTTTTAGTCTCCATTGAAATGCGCTTTGCATAGTTCAAGTTAAACGTATTTAGTAGTTTTCTAAATTGTCCAAAAATGCCGTTTATTGCTTCTGTTGCAAGCTATTTGAATCAAAACATAACAATAAATTCTGCGTGGGAATTAGTGATTGGCAACATCTAGCTTTGTATTGCATCAGACATGAGAAAAGTTCTGCTCATTTCAATAATTATAAAAAATGGACAGATTTATGTCACGCTCTGAAAAATAAAAACACTATTGATAGTATTCAACAAAAACTTTTAGAGGTTGAAAAGCAGCGCTGGTACGATTTAATCAAAAGAATAATATATGTAGTCCAATTTCTAAGTACACAAAATATGGCTTTTCGTGGCCAAAGCCAAAAATTAAAATACGGCCGTAACAATGGTAATTTTTAACTGTTGTGGTAATTTGGAACTGTTAGGAAAATTCAAAAACATTCGGATGCCAATGTGCTGTTAAATGGGGAGGAGTTGAGGATACCACTGTTTTTCTTGGTATTACTATTGACGCGAAACTTCAATGGGGCCCCCATATATCTAAATTAGCAAGCAAACTTAGTTCTGCAGCATATGCTGTAAGAAAGATTAGAAGTCTCACAGATGTTGAAACAGCTAGATTAGTGTATTTAGTTACTTTCATAGCGTAATGTCTTATGGAATTTTTCTATGGGGTTATGCGACTGATATTGAAGCTATATTTGTTTTGCAAAAGAGAAAAAGCAGTACGGGCGATTTATAACCGAAATTGTAAAGAGTCCCTCGGAGAAAAATTAAAAAAATAAACATATTAACTTTGACATCGCAATATATTTATGAGGATGTAATGTATGTGCATAAAAACATAATTAGCTTTAATATGAATAAGGATGTGCATATTTTAAACACTGGGAACAAACATAAGCTTGTAATGCCAGTTACTAGACTCCACAGAATCAGTAATTCATTTATGGGGCAATGTATACGCATTTACAACAAAATCCCATGGTTAGTCAATAAACAAGTTTAAAAGTTTTATTAAAGAAAAACTGTACAAAAAGGGTTATTATAATATAAAGGAATACATGAATGAAAATAACCCCTGGGAATAAGATGATCGCCACCATGCTGATTCTATGAAAATCATTTAAAAATTGTATAAATGAAATTATTGTTAAGTTAAATATGTTTGAAAAAAAAGTCCCGATGGGTTTCTTGCTGGTTCTTCCCAGGACAAAGGTATTTTCCGAATCAGTGGTAAATAAAAAATGACTTTCAATAAGTATTATGTAATAATCAATATTGAAGAAAAAATATTCTATTCTATTATATTTGATCTTTCAATGACTGAACATATACAGAAAAAATTTTCTGCAAATGATTCTACGAATGAAGAAGTTGTGTCGTGTCAGTCTCTTTTGAAAAAATTAAATAATAATGTGGTGAACATTTTTGAATTTATATATTTAAACAATTTGACAGCTGTTTGCCCTAACATCACCATAGCATTACGAATTTTGCTAACTATGCCAGTTACCGTAGCAAGAGCGGAAAGGTCCTTTTCTAAATTAAAACTTATAAAAAATTACCTGCGGTCAACAATGAGCCAGGAAAGATTAACAAATTTAGCAACAATATCCATAGAGGAGGCCATATTAGACCATATAGACATACACGAGATTATTAAGGATTTCGCAAACAGAAAAGCGAGAAGAGTGAAAATAATATAATTTAAGTATGTTTATATTCTTACATATTTTAGACTCTTGTTGTTTTTTTTTTAAACATAGCATACGTAAGAGCTAAATCAGTATTATTACAAAAGTCGGCTATTTTGTTATTAATATCTAAGTATACAATTAGATATAACATCATAAATAAAGTATGTAAAAATTAAATTCGTGTTTTATTTTTCGGAGTAATTGGCAAGCGAAAGCGAACTGGTTTTAACTATTTAGGAAAATATTATCTAAGTATATAATACTGAAGAACATTTATTTCGGTCAAAATTAACAAATGATAAAAACAGATAAGTTAAAACATGAAGATTCGTGAAAAAAAGAGGCGTTTCATAGGTTTCGCACACAGGCGCTGTGGGGGTCGGCGCGGCCCTGTGGTAACGGTAAGTATATTATCATCAAATCTTTTCTACAAAATTAATTGAGAATATTATTTTATGTTGTTGTGTTATTGTGTACATTAAGATTAAGACTTATTTATTTATTTATTATTGCATGCCGAGCGTAAAGCGCATAGGTATGTTCTACTAGCGCCTAAAAATGATTGTTGAACTTACTAATATTTTTTTTAAATCGATTAAATGCTATTTTTAAATAAAAAAGGGCACACCATAAGGCACTAACCTTATGGTGTGGATTTATCATATCCCCAAAGCTTGTAAACACGATAACTTTTGAAAATATCAATTGTTTAACTCAATCTATTTTTTAATCTCTTCATCTATCGTGTGGGAAGCCACTGAATTTAAATGACAGGGTAATTTTGTTTTGTTCAGCTATTATTAATTTTTTTCGGCTCCAAAATGGCGAAATTTTCGGTGTTTTCGCAGCCTTGTGTTAAAATTTATTTCAGTAAATAGAGACTGTCTGTTCCTCACTCACTGAGTTCGGCGTCAACCGCAGTTGTAAGTGGATACTGTATTGGTTGTTTGCAGCGGCTCAAAAAGATCGCTGTACAAATAAATACAAAATATTCGAAAAACAAATTTCATACATATTTGATCATTATAATAATCAGAGGTTTTTATTATAATATTTTAAAAGCACAGAATAAATAATAGTAGTACGTACTAAAAGTAAGTAGGATGTAATATTCATACTTGAATACGTCTTGTTCTTTTTGGACTGACATGAATGATGATGTGATGATCATATGAGCATTATGAGTCATGCACTTTGGATTTTCCAAACTTTTTCAAATTGAAGTTTGACATAAAATTATCGGAAAATTGGAAGTATAATAAAGTTATTAGTGAAAACTTTTGTGTATTTAAACTACTTTAAAAAATTGCGTATAATCATGCTATACGTAATTTTTTTAATGCGAAGGCATGCTCAATTGGATTTACCAATAGTTTTATCTATATTTATATTTATTTTTATGTTAGTATGACATATTTATTTATTTTTTAAATAAATATTGTAATGTAATTGTTGCTAATGTATTATAGAATTAATGGAATGCAATAAAGTTTTGTGCATCTGATTTCAGGCAATACATATTTTGTGAAATTAAATATACTTTGCCCAATATTTATCTACTAAATAATATTGAATCTTAAATAATAAAATTGAAATAATAATATAAAATCCAAACATGTTTTCAGGTTGATAGTTACATATTATTTGTGACGTCTATGTAATATGGAAAATGATTGAAGAGTTGTAGAGCAATAAAGAGTTTCCTTTAAAGCTGAACATAAAAATGTATGTATATGTATGTATATGTCACTCGCAATTCTACTACCGGTTAGTGC